ATATGTATGAAACTCCTGGTAGAATGAGCAAAAGCAGATTTGGTTTATTTTTTTAATATTTCAAAGGTAAAAGGCACCTGGAAGACAAAAAAAAAAAGACCTAACAAGACATTTTAGGTTGCCTTTGTGCATAATGAAAAATATACAGATGATTTTTTCTTTTTAAGCTATTAATTACCTTCTTGTAACTGTCCAAATTACAGTCCTATCTGCTATGGCTAAAAATAAGTAGATATGAATGCTGCTAAATCTGGGGGTGTAGCTGGGTGTGTAGTGATTTATTATTTTCTTTCTCCCCCTGCTAATATTAACAGATCTAAATCGCTGTTTTCTCCTTCTCCCCTTGCTTTCTTCTAGGCTTTATGTTTCCTTCTGAAAGAATAACATCTTCTTAAAATTGCACCATTAGGCACAGAACACTAGAAGAGAAAATTCTGACCAGAAGTGTTTTTTTTTCTCATTGATATTGCATGATCTTAAGGGTAGGGGAGAGACTTAGCCTGTAGTGTCCATGCTTCTGGATTTGGTCATAAGTTTGTGTGCTTTAGAGCCTTCAGCCACATCCTGGAAATTGCAGCAGGCAAGAGTGTGTGGCTGGGTGGGTCTGCCCACAAGGGAAAAACGTATGAATCCCAACTCATACTAGTTCAAAGACGAGACTTCATACTGAGGCCACTGCAGTCGGACAGGCCATGATATCCTTTTGGGACAGAGCAGTCTTCTTGCTGTTATCATACTGAAATCAAACAGAGCATCAGATATTCAAGCACTGAGCTCTTCAAAGTGACCAGCCCATTACAAATTTAAAAAGTACTCATTTCAAATTGAGTGCCATTCTGCCCTGAGACTGACACATATGCTTTTGTCTGAATTACTTTCATGATTTTGCATTTTTAAAAAAATGCAATTACTTTTGCTGAGATGTATTGAGTGTACTCATTGCTTTCATATCCCAGTATTTGCTGGAGCAGAGGGGGCTGGCTGGTCCTTCCCAGGGAGGCCATCTTGGCTCCATGGCTGCACCCCAAACAGGTCCCCCACGCACAGTACTTCCCCAAGGTGCCCCTTTTCTCCCACAGATTTACACCCCCGGGACCTCTCCTCGCAATCCCTGGAGCTACCTTCCCCAGGACGTCTGTGAGACCACGAAGGCTGTGTTTCGCGGTGACGCCTGGAGTCAGCTTGCCACACCTCAGGCCCCCTCCGCGCCCCGTCTTCCCCCTCAAATCCCGCAGGGCCTCCTTTTGGCCCTGCCCCGGGCTCCCCGCCAATCACCCAGCCCAACCCACCCCTCCCCCGCC